ATGAAAAGCTTAATGTCATTAGTCATCAGGGCATGTGATCGAAGCACAGTGAGACACCACTTCACACCCACCAGAATGGCTAGAGAAAATGAGCCCTCAGCAGAAATGTGTTGGAAGGCGTGTGGAGAAACAGGAAGCCTCACACTGCTGACGAGGAAATAAAATGGTATATGCTGCACAAAAAGAGTTCAGCCCATCCTCAAAAAACTAAACCTAACTATACTACAAAGCCCTGTCATGCCACCTCTAGGTACACATCCCAGAAAAATGAAATCACACATTTGCATAAAGGCCTGTACAGCAATGATCCACAGTGATCAAAACAGCAGCAGTATTCATAACGATTGAAAAGGAGAAACAACCTGAATGTTTATCAAATGACTTCTAATCAATACAGTGGAGTATGACTCATTAGTACACACCAATAAAAGCTACAATGAGCTAAACCTTGAAAATGTTCTGCTAAGAGAAGGAAGCCAGACACAAAGGGCAGCCACAGTGTGACTACCATACAAAATGCTCAGCAAACACACAGACACAAAAAGTGCAGCGGGCCAGCGTGGGGCTAGAGGGAAGTGGGAAGTGACTTCTGGCAAGTCTGGGGCTGTGTGTGAAAACATATGAGGTTAGCGATGATATCTCCACAGCTTTGGGATATACAAAAAGCCACTGAATTGTACATGTTACAATAATGAGTTTTATTGTATAGGAACTTACCTTAATTAAAAAACAAAAAGGAAGACTTGACAACTAAATGCCATGAGAAATTCTGAAGTGGACCCTGGACAAGTCAAATGGCATTTACACAGCAACATCAACAACCCGATGACGACACGTGGTTTGGAGGGAAAAACCTGTTTTATATAACTCACACACGCCAGCACGCGCTGAAAGTGTATTTGAAAAGACACAAGTGACAATGGGGCACCTGAGGCATGCTAGAGCAGCTGCCAGTGGGAGATGCACGAGGAGAATATGGAGATGAGTGGAAAGGAGCAAAATGACGTCCACACTGTCAGAGGCATCCCGTGTGAGTCCTTGGTAGTCCCTGCTGACTTAGACTCACGCTTAAAAATAAAATGAACAAGACTTGACAGTGTGAAGAGGAGCTGTGGGCAGTGCAGGGGGAAGGCGGGCCGAGCCCTGACTCCAGCTTAGTTTTATGGCGATGTGGTGCTGGCCTTGCCACTTCCTTGACAAAGTAGACCCAGCTATTCAAGAGCACTCAGCAAAGTGAGGAGGAGGTCAAGATGGCACCTTTGGCCTATGCATAGTGACTGGCTCCTGTGAACAGGGCTTGGAGTAGGAGCAGAGAGCTAAGGGTGAGACTCCTAAAGACTGCTTTCCAGAGCAAATTTCATCCAACTGTCGGCAGGCGATACGTTTTATACTGACTTCAATGAGCAGCCTGGAAGACTTACAAACTCCAGGAATGAGGTTTTTAGGGACTTTCTGTTTTCCTCTGAGAAAAGCATGGGATCTGGAATGTTTCCACGCCTTCATAAAGGCCTAGAGTATAATACGATAGTGTGCAATCACTGAAATGTGATTTTTGCATATCAAATGTGATTGCATTTTAAGAGGCTAGGCTTGGTGGGCAAGGCCTGTACTCCCAGTCAAGGGCATGAGGCAAGGAGGATCATGAGGTCATTCCAGGCAAAGTTAGAATGTCTCAAAAAAGAAGAGAAAATACAAACAGAAAGGCTGGAGGTGTGGCTCAAGGGACAGAGTGCTTACCTAGCATGCACAAGCCCCTGAGTTAAAAAGAAGAAAGACGCTGTGCTTCTATAAATGAAAGGAGTTTCCTCCCCCTTCTATTTCTCCTGAACAGTGACTGGTATCATACAGAAATACCGAGTGTCTGTTTAGAAGTATTCATGCCAGAATGTCAAAGGTAGTTTTTACTCTAAGAAAAATGAGAAATTCTGGAGAACCTCTCAGAAAAAAAACACTATCAACAATCAATGGTAATTTTGAAAAAAAAATATACTAAGAGAACTATTTTTTCTCCTATTAAACTAACCTATCCCATGCTACTCAAAGTGTGGCTCATGGGACAGTCAGCAATAAGACATGTAAGGACACTGAGAGAAAACAATCAGAAAATCTCAGGTTCGCACCTGCAATCCCAGCTACTTGGAAGGCAGAGACTGGAAGGATCATGGTTTGAGGCTAGCCTGGGCAAAACGTTTGTGAGACCCCTTCTCAGCCAAGAAGCCAAGCATGGTGGTACTTGCTTGTGATCTCAGCCATATGGGAGGCATCACCATCTGAGGCCAGCCTGAGATCCTACTTAAAAATATCTAAAGCAAAAAAAGGCTTGGGATGTGGCTTAAGTGGTAGAATACCTGCCTAGGAAGCATGAAGTCCTGAGTTCAAACCCCAGTACCATGAAAGATCTTTTCCATTCACAAAGTTTTACTAAGGCTGGGCATGGTAGTGCATGCCTGTAATCCCAGTTATACAGGAGGTGGAGATTGGGAGAATCAGGGTTCAAAGCCAGCCCAGGCAAAAAATTAGCAAGAACCCATTTCAACAAACAAGCTGGGCATGGTGATGCATGCCTGCTGCCTCAGCTATGTGGGAGACACAAGTAGGAGGGCCACAGCCCAAGCTTGGCCCTGGGTAAAAAGCACAAAATCTTATCTGAAAATAACTAAACAAGCTAAAAAAAGGGTTGGGGTCACGGTTCAAGTGGTGGAGCACATGCCTAAGAAGAGTAAGAACTGAGTTCAAATCCCAGTACCACTCCCAAAAAGTTTTACTGAGCACTTGCCATGTACCTAATATTTAAGACCATGAGATTTAGCAGTGGACACAAATACACCATACTTTGTCAACCTCATGACCTTCCACCTCAGTGGGAGCGACGGGCAATCCACATCAATCATGGCAGCAACAGCACTGCGAAGGGAAGTAAAGCAGGGCAGGCGGCAGAGCAGCATAAGGCAGGCAAGAAAGAGCCTGGCCAGCCGCTACTGCTGGGGAAGCGCAGCAGAAAAAGCGCAGGTTCTGGCCCGAGCTCAGTGGTGGAGTGCATGCCTGGTGTGCCTGAGGCCCAGGCTTTGACCTCAGCAAAACCACGGAACACAGGTTGGAGTCAGACTGCCTAATGCAAGGGCTGGCTCTGCTACTCACACTGTCTGTGTGCACACTGTGCTGCACACTGTCCTCCCTATCAGAACGGAACATAACAACGCTACCTAGTGTTACTGCATCAACCGAGCTCATACATGTAAACAAGTGACAACAGTGCCTGTCACATCGCCAGGGCTTACTACACACTATCATTTCCGTATGCGGTGACTTAAGCAGAGACCTGAATGAGTGAGTGAGTCACACGAGCAACATGATGCTAACCATCATTAGCTCAGTAGACATTTTCCCCTTTAATCCTTGCAGGGATCCTGAAATAGACATTGTTAATCCTGCTCAACAGATAAAATGAAGGATTAGAAACGTTAAAGAGCTTGTTTAAGGCCACAACTAGCGAGTGTCAGTGAGCTCTGTCAAGTCTTCTTCCTCTTTTGGGCTTATGTTGGCTGTTTCAGGTGATGACAGAGGGCTTAGAACTAAAACCTCCCAACTTTCGCTTTGTTCATTCAGTTACACATTTTTTTCATTTATTTATTTACTCATCCCTTCATCCAAAAAATATTTCCTGTGTACTTGCTAAGTATAATAGTAACTGGTAATACTTTCTTTGTCTTCAAAGAGCAGAGCGTAAGAGTAGGGAGATGGCGATCTATAAGACTATGTCCCATGACCGCAGGGGCAGGAGGTGGGAAGGGGAGGAAGCCCATGTGCATGAGGGCCTGTGAGACCCAGCTAGCTGAGAGAGGGCTTGGCTGGAACAAAATCCTAAAACCTGCTCTGTGCAGAGTGGGAAGCACGGGAATATGAATGGAGGAGGATTTGAGAAGAAAGAATCAGCAGTCTAGGAAGAGGGTGAGAACAGAATGGAGAAGGGGAAGAGTTTGGGGCAGGGATGTCCCAGCAGTTTAGGGTCTGACCTAGAACTAGAAAGAGCCCAGGCATAGCCAAGTGAACTCAGGCACATGCAGAAACATCCAGTATGTTATATTGAACAGAACAAAGATTTAAATAATACCTAATATATATATAAAAGCATGAGAGTATAGGAGGAGCATAAAAGAAAGGTAAAATGAAGAAATACAAGCTGGCAGTGGTCCTGGCACTCCTTAAGAAGCTGAAGTAGGAGGATCACTGGAGCCCAAGAGTTCAAGACTAGCCTCAGTGACATAGTGACTGGAGGGTTGCAAGGGAAATATGGCAGATGAATAAACATTTCTGTATGAGGAATTTTTACATGAAAGATGGACTCTTCATAACTCTGTTTTTGTCTTCTCCTCATTAGTTTTGCCAAGTGAGGAAAAATGAGATGAGCATTGCATAGTGGTTACCTGGTAATTCATAAACACAGAGCATGGACTGGTTCAAAACAGCTCTAATTAGGAATTCTTAATGACTGAAAGGCAATTTTAAAGCAAGGCAAGGTTCTTCCAGGGCCACTGGTGTATGTTTCATGTCCTATTTAAGAACTGTTCTTCCAAGTCACCCAGCCCCTGTTCAGCTGCCCAGAACAAAGCTCTGGAGCAAAGAAGGGGACCAAACAAGCCCTGGGCCTGACATATAAGGCTGAGATCCACAGAGCCCTCCTGTGACCCATGTAAAGGGTCTTCATCACGCAGAGCAAGAAACACATTAACAAAAGATCTGAACAGTATTACCAATCTTTTACTTCTAGGTGTTGCTTCTCCAGCACATAAATAAATGGCCACCACTCACTGGCTAGATTATTTTTCTTGAGCTGCTGACAGCCTTATAATAAACTGTCTTTTAAGTTCATTAAATGGAACAGACAAAAAATGAGACTGTAGGGCACAAAAATGGTGCTATCACAGCAGCAATTCTGACCAAGCTGCAGCTTCGGTGTCTCTCAGAGCAGCCTGGGGAAGGCAGGGGTTCAGCTTCTTTACCTTCTTCAGCGACGACTGTCAGTGTGACGGTGACCCCGGCATCTTTGATCAGCTGAACAATGCTGTCATGGCTCAGTTCAACAATGGACTGCCCATTCACTGCAGAGATGTGATCTCCGACTTTCAGCTTTCCACAGCGGTCAGCTGGACTTCCTTCTATGACACGGCCAATTTTATGAGGAATAACTATGAGAAAAAAACCCAAGTTTTTCAATTAAGATATCTGAGTGTGCTAGGAATTATCATTATCTTTATTATTTAAAAGTTCAACATAATAACACCAAGGAATACTCCCTAAAGTCTAGCAAAAAGGGATCATACATCACCCCCTATTCAGTGCAGCTATTTCCACATAGCCTCCCACGCTGGTCACAGCATGGACAGAAATCTCACTGCTATTTCCCACTTACCAGAAACTGTGTTCCTATCTCTTTTTGAAGTCTATGACTTAACTGATCTAAAAAATTTACAAGGACAGTGATCTATTCTGCCCAAAACAAGGAGTCCAATGGCATCAAACAGACCAGAGGTGAAGGTGGAAGTGAGGAAAGGGACCAGGAATTCCACTCAGGAAAGCTAGGAACTGTGGCCAGGTGTGTACATCTACAAAGACATGCAAGAGTAAGAATTCAAAACAGGCTGAAACAGGGAGGGTCAGAACTCCCAAAGGCCTCAGAGAAAGTGGAAGGGGACTAGACAACAGAAACCTTTCCCTCAGTAGATGACAGGGAGACTCTAGAGACTCCATGTGGCACTGGGGCTTGAGGGCTCCCCAGAGAGCACCCCAGGTGCCACACTGTATCCTGGCAGTCCTATGACTGCTTGGCAGTGCCATAGGTGTTCAGCCACTCCCAGAAAAGGTCTTTCATTTTTCTTTAGCACCAGAAAGAGAACCACCACCATAGGGGCCTTGTCAAAGCCTTCTTCCTCCCACTTCCTGCCCAGGACTTCACCAACCCTGGCCAGGCTCCCTACTCTCCTCCCATTCCCCACACTGCTTTTGGGAGATTGTCATCAGGCTTAACTGGTAGCTCTGGCCTTGGCTGCTCCCACAGACACCTCAAGCCACTGTCTTTTCCAATTTTTGTATCATCATCCTAATTTTCCTAGTTAAAAGCTGCTGAGGTCATAGACACTGATAACATCTCACAGATCTGACATTTTATTTATAGTTGGCCATTATGGCTCTATCAAGTTGTTAGCTATGTTAGAAACTGATACAAGACTCTCTCTGGCTCTATTGAAAGGGAACTTACTCCTCAAAGCAACCTTTTAAATGAATGCAGTTCAAAGTCAAGCTTAGGACTCAGTAATTACTGGTCAGACATCCATCCATCCAGGTATAATGAAATGACTGCCCATTAAAATGAACCAGACTTAGTCTATACAAAGATGAGTTTCTTTTAATTGTACCTTTAGATCTTTCTTGATTTCAAAGCTGAGTGGATTTAGAACATTAAATATTTAATTTTAAGACTATTTGCTTCCTGGGTAAAATTCTCTGAATACACAAAGCTGAGTTGAACACATCTGCAGACTCCAAACATCTCTTCTATGTCTGTAGGTCATAATACCTGAGGCTTCCTAAACTACCCAGTGAGACACTGTGCTGTCATCACAGCTTAAAATGGGCCCTTAGATGTTCAGGAAATCTTGTCAAAGTGTCTCCCACTGTGCGATACAAAGGGGGAATTTGTATTGGGAAACAAATGTTCTTTCTACGTTCTCTGAGAGTTTCCTAGTTTGGGTCAGTAGATTTGCCAGGCACTTGGCTCTTGATGACCACTGATTGATATGAATAGGGGTAATTAAAATTTTTAGCACTGTGAATTATGCTTAATTTCCTTAGTAAGACATTCCTTACTAGTACTTCTGAATCTGTGTTGGAGTATGTTTGGGACATTTTAAGAGCCTTTATTTGCACTGGAAAATTTATTCTTGGTCATGATTTATGTCCCTACAGATAGTACCTTGGCTCTTCTAGGTTAGACAGTGGGAGATTTTACCCTAAAACAGAGGAAATCCATGTTGGAAGCAAGGGCCTCTCAGCTCTGAATGTTCTCAAGCACTGATAAGTTCATTTTCCTTGCAAATCAAGTAATTAGAAACATGTCCATGCAGTATGCCACACCCTGGGTCAGACCTTGTGAGGCGGTTCACAAGTAGCAGAATAGGTAGCACATGAGAACACATATGGTGAATCACACGGTGGCCCTGTGGTGACCTTCTTAATCAATACCTTAGTTATTCTCCTTAGCGTTCATTCTAGATCCCCTGAGAAGAACACCATTCAGCTCCTTGGCACACTGACAGGGGTCTGTTCAGACTTGGGAAAACATCAAAGAGAATGAACTGCTGAAGTCCAAGTGGTCCATTTTCTTACCATGTGGGCCATGTGGCAAAGGGAACTGGCACACTGTGGCATACAACTTCCTAAAGGGTTAGTTGTCTGGGTGAGGGAAGATGTCGGAGTAAGATTGTTACTATCTTGGCATTTAAAGCAGTGCCACCAAACAGCTGGAATGCACCATCAGACCAGCAGAAAGGTCACTTCTGCACATTCTCTGAGTGCACTGGGGCGTTTTTCAAGGTGTTCCCTGAGCATACACAGAGCCCTGCCTCATTTCTATTCCTATGCACAGGCCATGAGCATCTGCCATAACCATCTTATCCATCTGCATTCGTCACTGGCCTCAATCTGTCTCACAGATGCTAAGATCACCTTATTGCTCTTAAACATTTCTTTCCAGGAAAAAAAAAGGACAGTAACTGGGAATGTCCCCTTCCCAAAAAATCCTTTGCAATCAGAACTGAACAGCATATGATAAGAGTAGCACTAAATGCTGTGAAGACCGGCAAAGTGAAGATGAGTCGTATCCTTTCCATCTGAAACAAGGGCCTTAGCTCTGTGCTCATTCTGCACTGAGTTGCACTGGGAGGACGCTGACCTGGACCCCTAATCTTGGATTGCCCATGGTGGGGAATCTCACAACAGCAAAACTGATATCAGAGATGGACTGGAGCTCTGAGATACATGTCATCAGAAAACACACTTACTTACAAGAAAAAGTAGTATAATTTAGTAGGGTTCTGAGACCTGGTCCATATGGGAGGATCTGTGTGACACACAGCTCATCTACCTTTCGGCCTGTGCTAACCCCTTCTAAACCACACCTCTTGGTTCAGAGCCTGCAGGAACTGCTCAGCCTCTGTGAGTAGAGGCTCTTCACCCATGCTCACTCCAGGACTCTTCTCCCATCTGTATGAGACAATGGTATTCTAAGAGGAAAGCTTGAGTGAGGCTGAGAATTTGTGAGACTATTAACTAGCAGTTCAGGGAAATTACCAATTTTGGTTTTGCACTATGACAGAGAACCTCAAGTGCTTTGTATAAAATTTACCAACAACCTGAGCCTAATTTACTATTCAGGCTGATAATTAATCATTTCCTGTCATATGTTAGCCATTGCCTCAATTTTTGCCTGTTAATGAGGCTTTCTTTCCATCCTTATTACTAAGTATTGATAATTTTTTTAAAGTTTCATTTAAAAAGAAGGTCACCAGGTATTAGTTTCACCTGTAGTCCCAGCTACTGGGGAAGCAGAGGCAGGAGGCTTGCTTAAGCTCACAAATTCAGGGCTGGCCCGAGCAACATGGTGAGGTGCTATCTCAGAAAAACAAAACAAAACAAACAGGTCCAGAGCCCATGACAATTTCCTAAATAACAATGGTGACAAATGGTTCCAACAGCTACAAAAAGCAGTGGCAGCTGCAGTGTGCTGAAGGTCCAGGCTTTGGCTCCCAGGCATTATATTATATCCCGTAATCCTCACATTCAATGGCACCAGAGGGGCTATCACCTCCTCTCTTTACAGAAGAAATGCCAGTTCTTGCAAGGGAAGGGCCTCACCCAACATTAGTCAGTCTGCTACTCAGGACACATGCAGGGATTGAATCCAAGTTTGTCAGCTACAAAACCCAATACTTAATACACTATCTTATTGAGAGGCAAGTGGCAATCTACATGCACAAAACCACCAGAAAAGTAAAAAAGTCACTAAATGAATATAAAATATTTTAGCAATATGAAAATATGTTGTTACTGAGTTCCTCTATATTGTTTAGTTTGATGGTTAAACACTAGTCTCCCCCTATTTTCTGCAGTACTAGACAAGGAATACCTTCAATGTAAGAAGTGGCTATCCTGTTTACAGAGTAAAAGTCTTTCACTACTTTTGTTAATCTGACTGCCTGGGATTATTGTATGGTATTAGGGTGAGAATGTGATTATCATAAATGGTTATTTGTTTTTGAAAATACTGATTTTTAATGATACAACATGAAAACCACCCAAAAGCTGCTTTCATTTTTTCTGACACAGGCCACATAATCATCCTCACAGCATCAGTGACAGTTTCACTTCCAACTGTTACCATAGCAACTGCTTTTGGAAAATGGAAACTAGTATCAGTGAGCAGTGACCTGATAGTATAGCAATAACTCATCCATGTCACAGAATCTTCTTCCTTAACACACTTGTCTTAATTTTAGCAAGATTTTTGCAAATTGATTTGGCTTACAACACTTTCCTGAAGGTGTTTTCTTTTTCCACTGAGGTTTTAATGGCCATCTAGTCTGAAAAGGTCTTGCTACCCAAGATATAATCAGATCCACTGGCTAAGGCAAGAGCATATTTTTATGTGATCATAGATCTTTATCATTTAACTTAGAAAAATAAAGTTATCAGAAAAACAAAATACATAAGTATCAACATGATTGTTAATCTTTTATCAATTAGCTTTTGCCATTATATTTAATGATTATTTATTAGAAACATCAAGACATTTAATTTGCTGAATCATAATAGCCCTGCACTTACTAAATGTGCTTCCTCCTTTGCATATATGATGCATACGCATGCACACATACACATTCATCCTTCTTAGACGCAAATATTCTGATAAAATTGGTTAAGGATATTTCATTTTCAAAGCTTCTAACAAAATTTTTACTTTTCAATGAAACATATATGAAAGGTAGGAATGTCTCTTACCATTCAACAAAGGGACTTTATAGTTGGGAATATAGCAATTATTAAATAACATAAATAAACTAAGACATATTTGGGTCATGATTTTTCTATTAATCTGTTTTTCTTCTCAATAGCTTTAGTATTTAGTTCATTTTCTAACGTTAGTGATTTCTTTGACTTTAAAAAAAATCTATGTCCCAAAATTTTGAAAACATTTTAAAAATTCAATTTATCTAAATCATGAAGTCAGGTCCCTATAAACCACCTCAAACTGAACTACTGAGACTTATTTGTGGAGCCTGAAATGATGGATAAACCCGAAGTCTGAAGGTTTGGTTTAGGTTACCTAACTTTGAAAATAAGGCAGATATTCACTGTTCTTAAAGAGGTTAGTCTGTACAACAACTGATATGCGGTCCTAACAAGTAGTGTAAGGTCTGAGGGACCTCAGAGAGGTGGCAGGTGCAGAGCCTCACCTCCTGGAGGTGGCTTGCTCTTTGAGGTGAGGATGACAAAGCCAAAGCCTTCATTTTCTTTTCGCTGCAAGACAACATCGTAGGCCTCGTGGGGAGCAGACCTGGCTGGGACCTCAGCTCGGTTTAGGCGGGGGGACCCATTCTGTGTTGACAAGAAGGCTGGAGAGCTGTCGTCCTCAGGTTGCTTCTCTGTAATAAACACAACCAGTGTTCATATTTCTGGAAAACCATGATTTTTACTAAATAATGTTTTTGTGCTAAGCCTCTCAAAGAAAATTAAGTTCCTGGGCATGCCTCAAGTGGTAGAGAATCTGCCTAGTAAGTATGAAGCCCTGAGTTCAAATCCAAGTAGAGCCAAAAAAAAGAAAAAGGAAATTTAGTTCTTAATAATGTAAAGAATACAAAAGCAGTCCCCGCCATGTGAGCTTTGCATATAAGACAAGTGCAGATGTAGACAGCAGTGATCCATTTGACTTCCAAAATACTCAAAAGTATACAACTGGAAAACTACATATTACCTAACGTTAGCTCACTTTGAAGACAGTTCCTCAAAGCTTTTGTGAGATTCGACAGTACAAACATTCTTCTAGAAATTGCTCAGTTGTGGCAAGGTTTACCACCTGGACCAGTAACTTTAACAAAAGCATTTAATAAGGAATGATACAATAAACTTCCTTTTGAAATGAACTGTAAGCATAACTTAGTGCAGTGACTGAGGCTCACTGATACTTGGAGGTGAAAGCTCCTGAGCGTTGTCTATTCTAAGTGTTTGCTACCTGCATGGGATTTGTCTTATCTGATGTGCTCTGCCATTGCACTTTCCTGAGGGATAAGACCAGATGAGCTGATCACCAGGAGTTCTTGGCCTTTCTCTCTCCCTTGCCAGGGTACAGAACACACAGACTCTGCTGGGCAGAGGTAAGGTCACAGGAATCGCTGGCAAATGGGCAGAAAGGTACACCTTGTTTTGCTACTTAAGAATGACACCAGAATTTGAAATGATATGAATGAACTAATTGATTTTCTTTAAAAAGGCTTGTTTTGTGTGATAATTTGATCACATATCATGGAAGACACATTATATGGTCGCTTTTAGCTCAACATTTACATGGTTTTAAGAATGTTTTACAGACTCAATAAAACAACACCAATATATACCATTATTAAAAAATAAAGGTTTGTTTTGCATAATGCATGGTTAGAATGAATTAGCTAAATGACCAAAAATACAAAACTGCTATGAAACATCTTTATGATGTTTTTAATTGACTGCAGTTATATACTGACTCCAGCACAAACAAAGTGAGGGACATCACATTAAAATCCACACCCATCTCTAAAGGTCTGGCATTTACTAGGAAGGACAGGACTTTACTTTGCACACTATGGTGTAAGCCTGTAATCCCAGAACTTGGGAGGCTGAGGCAGAAGAATTGTGAGTTCCAGGCCAGCCTGGGCTACAAAGCAAGACCCTGTCTCAAACACCAACCAGCCAACTCAACAAACAAACATACAAAAGAGTGATGTCAAGGGTCTGGGGGTCTAGTTTAGAGACATGTGCTTAGCACATGTAAGGTCCTGGATTCAATCCTTAGCACCAAATAATAATAAAAACCAGACATTTTTTAAAGAAGAAAGAGTGATGTCAATATTCACCAAGGGTAGGTATAGGTGCCAGGGTTACAGAGCAGCTAGGTAAACAGATAAAAATCCAAGCCCTTATGAAATTTACCTTCTTGTACTATAGAAAATTCATTTTAAAATGGCAAGAATTCAGTATAAAAATCTTAGTTAATGTTCACAAAGGTATTCATAAGAAAACTGGAAGAGCTGTTCATATCCTAGTGTCATGGCTTAATCCCAGGTGCTGCTATAAAACTCTAAATTTTAATCCTGGCCTACTGCTTGCCAGTTCTATCTCTGAACCTTTCTGTAAGTCCCTGCAGAAGCAGAGCATGACAATTATTTACATGACAGTGTGGTGAGGACCAAATAAAATAAGTCAGGCATCTGAGACACAGCAAGCACTCAATAAATGTTAAATTGTATCATACTGAAACTTATCAAGCAGAAACATTTCACTCACTTTCCTTGAATGTTTGAGATTTCATCACAATCCAAAGACTTTTGATATTCAGCTAGTGGGGCATCTTGGTATGACTACAATAAATGTTTTTGAAAAACAGGAATTTAAACTGACACTCCCATTTGTAATTCTATGTTGGTAAAAATTACCAATATGTTAATTACTATAATCTTAATGTAGAAGCTCAAAACTTCCTTGACAGTATTATTTCTAGATTTTGTTTGTTTGTTTGTTTGTTTGGTGATACTGGGACTTGAACTTGCTAGGAAAGTTACTCTACCACTTGCACCACATCTCTGGCCCTTCTGGATCCTTTTGACTTTACATGGTCTTCTATAATGGGATCTGATAATAAAAAATAGATTATCTCATGCACTTTTTCTTTTTTTTAAGACAGGGTCTCATTATGTTCCAGACCAGGCAGGTCTGGAACTCACCATCCTCCTGCCTCAGTCTCGAGTGCTGGGATGACAGGCAAGTACCACCATACCTGGCTCCTACACTACTGAACCCACTAAAGGATCCTGCCAAACCACACAGGAAGTAGACTCTACTTTTTTTTTTTTTTTTTAACTTTTCAGAGCAGGAAGAGGCCATACCTCCACAGAAGATCTTTCTCCTGACTGTTAGTAACACGTGGCCATTTCGAGCAGCAGTGGTCATTAGGTCCAAGACTTGCTTGTGCGATTTCCCTTTAACAGGAATTCCATCAATGCACATGAGTTCATCAGCAGCACGGAGCCGACCATCTTTCTCAGCTGCTCCCAGGGGGATAATGGCCCCAATATATATCTGGTAAGACAGCAAAGTGCAGGTTGGTCTGTACAGTCCACTAAGATCAGCTGAAGAGTTAAGAACTTCCTGAATCAACACTGTGTAAACCAACAGATTTCTGCAGTTCATCTGTGAAAAGCCACTTTTCAGAAAGGTAGTATTTTAGAAAGTGCCCATTCTCCAAAATGATACCTCAAATAGCCATACTGGATTATGTAATCCTTTTAGATCCTTGGGGTTGAAAACAAAGAAGAAAATATAAAGTTTAATAACTTCAAAGCACTACTATAGACTCCCTTACTACAGTGTAACAAAACAAACTCAGAAAATGCAATTCTGCAGAGGGGTTACTAAAAGTAAAACAAAGTCTGCTCAATGCCATCAGGAGAGTTTGCCTATACAACGGTCACAGCAATTGGTACCATTCTTATGATTCTCCCATGACATGTGGCTCATGGTACAAATTTAGTATGTGTAACTGAGGAACAGTACTTGTTCCTAAACCTCAAAGGGAATAGGGTAGCCTGAAGTTCACTGCAGCACTAGAACAGACGTTCTCCATTCTGCTCACCAGCAGTTAGAATTCTGTTAAGTAGGCCATCCTAAGTGTTGAGGCTAGTTGCAGAGCTACTAAACCCTGACATTTAAGAGAAGACAAAGAAGGTCGTGTCCAAGTTGTTTAAGATAAATTCTTTAAAGGTCTAAGTGAATACACTATGAATATCAACAAAATAGGAAGCAAAAAAATTACATAAACCATCAAAAACAAAGTATCTTCTATTGGCCCTATATAGAACAATGTGTCTTGAACTATGATAGCTGTAATTGTAACCAATATGACTGATTAGAACACATTTATACATTAAATCAAATATTCTATTCAGAAGTAGAAAAAAGCCTATCACTTTTAAAAATTACTATTCACCTAACTTCTAAGCACAATTTGTCTTTTTTCATATTATTCAAAAGAAAATATAAATATATTCTTACATTCTACAGAGCACATTACTTCTTTGTCATTCAAAACTAAGGGCAAGGGCTGAGCCTGGGTGGTGCATTCTGTGGTCAAAGCTACTTAGGAGGCTGAGATAGGAGGATCGTGGTTCAAGGCCAGTCCTAGCACAAGTTAGTGCAAGTCCCTATCTGAAAAACAAAACTAAAAGCAAAAGGACTGGAGGCATGGCTCAAGTGGTAGAGGGGGAGGAAACTCTAAGATGGTGACTAGAGGGAGGAAGCAGAAAGCGTGCTTCCTAAAGTAAAATCTTGGAGAGACGCTGGAGATACACCTTACAGGAAAAACCAATGAGAAGAGGCAAAACTTTGATTCCTCCACACCCCCAGCCCACGCATAGCATCCCCACTCCACATTAAACAGAGAAACCAGGAGGGCTCCCGCACTGCCAGACGCCAGCTCCTAGACCACTTGGGAAGACGCAGACCACCAGGTGAGCTAAGCGGCATGCGGTACTCCCACAGACAACCCTGGGCCAGATCAGCATAGCCCCCTAGACAGACCGAGCCTGACTCAGGGAAAAAGAAGAAAAAAAAACTGAATAATAAGCAACAACAACAAAAACAGACACGTAGCGAAGAAGGTAGGGCACCCTGAGCGCCAAAGTGGGGAAGGGGCAATCCCCCACAGAACTGTAAAAAAACAAGCTGGCCGGAGAAGGCAGGAGCGGTAGCACACGTCCAGCAACCAGGAGCGGGAAAGCCTGTAAAAGTGGCAGTGGTAGGAAAACTCCACGGGAGAAGGGGGAAGGGCCACTTCCCACGTGAACACGCTGGCTGGAGAATTTGGGTGTAGCGCCACCTCCCCCAGTGTGCTTGGAAAGGGGAAAGCTTGTAGCAGCGGCTTGCGCACAGGAGAACTCTAAGTAAACACAGTCTGAGGGGCCAGGTGAGTGTTAAGCTCACTCCTTAGATCTGCATAAATAAAGCCTCCAGCAACAGCAGGCTGACAGCAGTGGGCAGGTGAGCCGCAGCCTCAGATAGACATTCACAAACCTGTCTCCAGACTCTTTTTTTCTCTCTTCCTTTGATGAGACAACAACCGAACTACACCTGCATGCTGAAATACTTACTGAAACTGTATTGCATTTGAACTTGGGACACTTTGTGGTGTTTTGGTTTTTTTAGTTTCTTTTTTTTTGTTTTTTTTCCCCTTTGATGAGACAACAGAACTACTTCTGAGACACCATCTCCAGGATTAGAGGCTGAGGGACGAACACCAAAATTATTAAGACTGAAACTTTACTGCATTTGAACTTGGAGATTTTTTTTTTCAATCCTCTCTTTGTCTCTCTAATGCCTGTTTAGCTTACTGTTGATTAGTACACTATCTCTCCCTGTTTATATCTTTGAAACTTCTCTGTTTTTTTTTTACTTGTTTGTTTTTTCCTTTTTTCTTTACCTTCTTTGCTTTCCCTCTCCTCTCACCCCTCCATTCTAAATATTACCATTGTTATTATTACAAGCTAGAAAATACTTAATTGCACACAGTACAGGGACAATAACAACACCAAGGGTAATGACGGGAAGACAGAAAAAAAAGGGAAAACAGTTTCCCCACAGCAAAAAATTAGTACAGGAACCAGAGGGAAATGAAGAAAACAGATACTCAGATCCAGACTCCAACAAAATGAAGATAAACTATGCCAAAGAACCCAATGAAGCCCACAAGAATAATCTAAAAGAAGAAATCCTACAGGTAATCAATGAGAAATTTATAGAGATGATATTGGATATGGTCAACCAAAATGTACAGGAGACACTCAAGAAATTCCAAGACAACAAAGATAGAGAATTTGAGAAAGCACAATAAGAAATAAAAGAAACCATAGAAGCACTGTATAAACACCAAAGTGAAACAAAGAACACGATTAATAAAGAGATAAATGAACTCAGGATGAAAATAGACAACATTAAAGAGGAAGGGACTCAGGATATGAAAAACCTCAGAAAAAAGAACAAAACAGAATTGCAAAACAAAATGGAAGGCCAATCCAGCAGAAGAAAACAAACAGAAGACAGAATCTCTGAACTTGAAGATGTAATTAATGTTAAACAACTCAAGACTTGTGAAAAGAAAATGCAAGAACTCACTGACTCCATCAAAAGACCAAACCTGAGAATTATGGATATTGAAGAAGGAGAAGAGGTGCAAGCAAAGGGAATGCATAATATATTCAACAAAATAATAACAGAAAATTTCCCAAATCTAGAGAAACCTATTCCCATACAGATGCAAGAGGCCACCAGAACACCAACAGACCAGACAAAAATAGAACTACCCTATGGCATATTATCATTAAAACAACAAGTACAGAGACCTGAGAAAGAATATTGCAGGCTGTAAGAGAGAAAAAACAAGTAACATACAAAGGTAAACCCATCAAAATCACAGCAGACTTCTCAACAGAAACATCAAAAGCAAGAAGAGCTTGGGGTGAGATCTTCCGGAGACTGAATGAAAATAACTTCAACCCTAGGATACTCTACCCAGCAAAATTATCATTCAAAATAGATGGAGCAATAAAAGTCTTCCATGATTAGCAGAAACTAAAACAGTATGTGACCACAAAGCCACCACTACAAAAGATTCTTCAAGGAATTATGCACACAGAAAGTGAAACCCAACATAACCATGAAAGGGCAGGCAGCACCAAACTATAGGAAAAGAAAAACCAAGAAACTAGAGAGTAACCTCAAATTAGGTACACACAATCAAACCTTCAAACAACTAAGACAACTAAATGACAGGAAACACCACATACCTATCAGCACTAACACTTAATGTTAATGGACTTAATTTCCCCATCAAAATGCACCGTTTGATGAACTGGATTGAAAAGGAAGATCCAACAATTTGTTGCTTACAGGAGACCCATCTCACTGACAGATATAAGCATACGCTTACGATGAAAGGCTAGAAGAAGATTTACCAAGCCAATGGCCCCCGAAAACAGGCAGGAGTAGCAATACTTATCTCTGACAAAGTAGATTTCAAACCTACATTGATCAAATGAGATAAAGAAGGACATTCCATACTAATAAAAGGGGAAATAGACCAAAAGGAAATAATTATCAACCTATATGCACCCAATGTCATCAAACATACCCTGAAAGACCTAAAAGCATATATTAACTCCAACACAGTGGTCGTGGGAGACTTTAACACTCCATTATCATCAATAGATAGATCATCCTATCTATTGATATCCTATTTCAATAAAGAAATCCTAGATCTAAAATATACCATAGATCAAATGGACCTAGTTGATGTCTACAGAACATTTCATCCAACTTCTACACAATAGACATTCTTCTCAGCAGCCCAAGGAACCTTCTCCAAAATAGATCATATCCTAGGGCACAAAGCAAGCCTCAGCAAATATAAGAAAACAGAAATTATACCATGCATTCTATCTGATCACAATGCAATAAAACTAGAACTCAAAAACAAAAATAAAGACAAAAAACATGCAAACAGCTGGAAACTCATTGCTTAATGAACAATGGGTCATTGATGAAATAAAAGAGGAAATTAAAAAGTTCCTGGAAGTCAATGAAAATGAAAACACAACCTACCGGAACCTATGGGACACAGCAAAGGCAGTCCTGAGAGGAAAGTTTATAGCCATGAGTGCATATATTAAAAAGATTGAAAGATCCCAAATCAATGACCTAATGATAACCTCAAACTCCAAAAACACAAGAACAAGCAAATCCCAAAACAAATAGAAGGAGAGAAATAATAAAAATAAGAGCTGAAATCAATGAAATAGAAACCAAAAAAACCATACAAAGAATTAATGAAACAAAAAGTTGGTTCTTTGAAAAAATAAACAAGATCGACAGACCCCTAGCAAACCTAACTAAAATGAGGAGAGAAAAAACCCAAATTAGTAGAATCAGGAATGCAAAAGGGGAGATAACAATAAACACCAAGGAAGTCCAGGAAATCATCAGAGACTTCTTTGAGAATCTATATTCAAATAAATTAGAAAATCTTAAAGAAATGGACAGATTTCTATATACATATGATCATTCAACTGAACCAAGAGGATATTAATCACCTGAATAGATCTATAACACAAAATGAAATTGAAGCAGCAATCAAGAGTCTCCCCAAAAAGAAAAGTCCAAGACCTGATTGATTCTCTGCTGAAATCTATCAGACCTTAAAGAAAAACTGATACCAATCCTCCTTAAACTGTTCCATGAAATTGAAAGGGAAGGAAAACTGCCAAACACATTTTATGAAGCCAGTATTACACTTATCCCAAAACCAGGCTAAGACACCTCCAAAAAGGAGAACTATAGGCCAATCTCCTTCATGAACATTGATGCAAAAATCCTCAATAAAATAGTGGCAAACCGAATTCAACAACACATCAAAAAGATCATTCACCACGACCAAGTAGGCTTCATCCCAGGAATGCAGGGGTGGTTCAATATATGAAAATCAATAAATATAATAAACCACATTAACAGAAGCAAAGACAAAAACCACTTGATCATCTCAATACATGCAGAACAAGCCTTTGGTAAGATCCAACACCATTTCATGATAAAAGCTCTAAGAAAACTAGGAACAGAAGGAAAGTACTTCAACATTATAAAAGCTATATATGACAAACCTACAGCCAGCATTATACTTAATGGAGAAAAACTGAAACCATTCCCTCTAAAATCAGGAACTAGAAAAGGATGCCCACTATCTCCACTCCTATTCAACATAGTACTGGAATTCCTAGCCAGAGCAATTAGGCAAGAAGAAGGAATAAAAGGAATACAAATAGGTAAAGAAACTGTCAAAATATCCCTATTTGCAGACGATATGATCCTATACCTTAAAGACCCAAAAAAACTCTACTCAAAAGCTCCTAGACACCATCAATAGCTATAGCAACGTAGCAGGATATAAACTATATGTAAGAATCATGCATAAACAAAATCCTAGAGTTATATTTACAAATATAACCCTTTTGCCTTCTGGATAGAAATATTATTTTATATGCCTTTAGCTTTATAGGTAACAGGTAAAACAGGAAATGCCAACCCCTTTAGATGACCAGGTGAAAAGTTACACAGAGGCTCACGTCAGCTGTTTGTGGAGTGTTCAGGAGAGTGATTATGGTAAGAAGACACTAGATTCTTAGAGTGGGAAGATGTCTTGGAATCTATTTAACAAAGACAAGGTAGATGAAAAGTCAAAATAAACTTGTTTTCCAGTGCTGGGTTGAAACCCAGGGCTTTGTGCATGCTAGTCCTACCATCGAGCTCCAGCTCCAAGTAAGCTTAATCCATTTACACAGAAAAGTAAATAAATTAATCAGTGTCCAATTTACAGCTGACATTCAGCTTTTACTAAGGTTTTTAGCTTAAACTACACCCTATTTACTAGGGACTATGATACGCATAGAAATGCAGCTCTTCCTCATATTAAGAAAACTGTTAAGATGGTTGGGGTGTGGCTCAAGTAGTAAAGCACCTGCCTAGCAAATGCAAGTCCCTGAGTTCAATCCCCAGTACTCTAAAAAAAAAAAGCAAGATTAAACTGTTAGAGAAAAGCCAAACTTAAGAAGAAAAAGAAAAGAAACAAAAAGTGCCATATTCAACTAATTCACCACTCAGAATTTTCCAGGAACAGACACATTCCATGGTATTTACACTTACAGATTGGTCAGGTCCATCTCCTCCCAGCACCCTGAAGCCAAACCCTGACTCTTGTTTCCGAAGAAAAACATCCAAATCTTTGGTGTTTGGTGCTAAGGAAAATCAGAAAATGTAAAGTAAATACTTTTAATCTATTTTAAAAGGATTACAACAAAGCAAACTTAAGTATTTAGTAGGAGAGCAACTGAATATCAAAACTTTTTGATGCAGGAAATTTTACATAAGAATATATACACACCTGAGAAAATTCAGTATAAATCCATGTTTTGAGTGTGAAACAAAACTGTAACAAGACTGATTAGGAATACTTACCCAGCTTCCATTCTCAGTGTTACACTGTCACTATCTTTTGACACTGTCCAATTTTACAGTGGTACATTCAGAATTATCCAATTTGAGTTTGATATCTGATCTTAGATATAATCTAAGTTAACATTTGATCAAGGTATTTTAAATTCCAGGAGAAGAGAGCCCATAAAATGCCTTATTTCTACATGAACTCCTTGCTTAGCATTTTTTACAAAAGGGTAGTATACACATATATTTTGGTAGTGGTATTGGGGTTTGAACTCAGGGCCTGTGTGTACCAGGTGGTGCTCTACCACTTCAGCCACTCTGCCAGCCAGCTCACACTTCTTATTGACCCCATTTTCCAAGTGGGAAAATGAAGGGCCCTGAGTCACACAGTGAGTGGCAGAGCTGAGGTGCAAACCCAGGTTCTTACCCTACATCACCCTGTCCCCGAGGGCAGGCACATTCATCAGAATATTAAGTCAGTAAAGACCATGTAGTGAGAGATCTGTTTCTGGGAAAATATCAGCATTGTTCCTAAGTAAGAAGCGCTTACTAGATAGAGAAAAGAGGAAAACTGTTTGGAAAGGATACAAGTAGGGTAAAGTCCTTATGCTCTTCTTCAGAAGCCATCTCTTGATAAACACTTCTATTAGAGTCACAGTACCTTAGCACTGGAGTCCAGCTCAGCGGGAATGTGTGCTTAGCGTGCACATGGCCCTGGGTTCAATCCCCAGCAAGGGAAAACAAAACAAAACAAAACACTGAACTTCAGAAATTAGAGGGGTCATGAGTGAAACTCACTCATTTTCTGGGTGAAGCCTAACAGCTTGTGAGGATATTAAGAATGTTATGGAGGCAAGAATGGGAAGTCTGAGGAAAGGGTTTCCACATAGTTATGCTAATTTAAATTACTGCTTTGCTACTCCTGGTCTTCTTTCTAAATATGTCCTAAAGAGTTCAAGATAAAGACTTGCAATTATCAGCATGAAGTCAGTTACACATAATATTTCTACTTGTATATCTTTTTACAACACAAATATAAATCCATTTTGTTTGAGACAGGGTATGTGTGTACAGATGTATTTTTTTCTTTTTTTCTTTTTTGAGTGGTTACTGGCGTTTAAAACTCGGGGCACTGCACTTGCTAGACAAGTACTCTTACCACCTAAGCCACACACCTAGCCCCTTTTGCTTTAGTTTTCATATAGGGTCTTGCATTTTTTGCTGGCGCCAGCCTCTGAAAACAATGCCTCCCATGTAGTTGGGATTATAGATGTATACCACCATGACCAGAGCTTGTTTTTGAGATAGGGTCTCATTAACTTTTTTGCCCAATCTGGCCTCGAATTATAATTCTCTTATCTCTGTCTCCCAAGTAGCTGAGATTACAAACAAAATTTAAAAAATTAAACCTACCGATTTTTAATTCAATTTATTTATTTTTTGGTGGTAAAGGGGTTTGAACTCAGGGCTTTGCTCTTGTGAAGGAGGCGTTCTACTGCTTGAGCCATACCTCCAGTCCAAAAGTTAAACCTATTTAAATCTGCAAGTTTACTTTGGAAAAAAATTGTCATTAGTAAGTAAATTCATATAAAAATAAATTTATGGCTTTGTGCTTTTCCCTTCTCAGCTGGACTCCTCAAAGAGGTCAACTCTTTAGTTTCATCTTTTTTTTTTTTTTTTTTTTAGCAGAGGTTGGAAAGATTTTATTTGTAGAGAATTTAGTTGGAGAAAAGAGAAGAGAAAGTTTTAGTTTCATCTTTAATTGCATATCCCTCTCAACCATATTCCATATTCCTGCCACAAAATCTTCCTAAAACACAAACCTAACAATAGTTTCTCTACAGTTAAAACCATTTTGTGGAGACAGGATCTCACTATGTAACCAGGATGGCCTGAACTCACGCTCCTCCTTCCTCTGCCAGGTGGTAGAACTACAGGTGTGCACCACCATGCCTGGCTCTCTATCTTTCATATGACCAACTCCAGCTTCCTCAGAAGGGGATATCGGCCCTCTGCAATCTGCTCCTGCTTCCCTCTTTGTTGTCCCTTGCCAATCACACCCAGCCACACTGAGCTAACTGTAGAACCAAGGCTATGGAAGGCCAATGTGAAAATGCTCTTCCTTCTCTTTCCCTTCATCCTCCTCATGAATTCCTCCCTATCCCTGAAGATGTGGCTTACGCTTGCTTCCCATGTGGCACTCTGCCTCACTCTTCCTACTGCTCACATTGATAAAATGGATACTTCCTACTCTGGGTCCCGATTTATCTAATTCACTCTTCCATCTTCACCTGGTAGGCTCTGTGTCCTTATCTGTACACATATTGATTACACATTTGTCTTTTTCATTTAGATTTAATATTATTTATGACTAACAGGGATGGTGTAACCTATTTATTTCAGTATTCTCATAAAAAAATGTGACATCTGGTAGAGAGCTGCCACTTAATACTCAGTTATGAAAAAATGAGTGAACACTGATGTCACACGGAAGATACTCAGAGTCACATCAAAATGGTAATGAAGGAATAACTTCTCAATATGCTTTTGAAGATGTGAAGGCTCCAGTTTAAAAAGAAATTCATTTCATTACATGCTGTCCTGCAATACTGCCCAACTACTTACGTTTATCTTCATATAAAGTCTTAGACTTCATATAGACCTCGGAGGGATCCAATTTTGGGGATCCTGACCTGATGATGCTGGGTGGAAAAGGCATAGGCTGGGGAATGGGCTCATTAATGGCCTCCAGACTTCCAGAACTTTCCTTTTTATCTGTTTTCTGAAATAGAAAAGGACCTTATTGAGTATTTTGAAAAACAAGATAGTTGATTACTTCATAAAATTGTCATGTGAACTGGGTACACAAACTGAGGACAGCAGGGTGGCAGGGTCAAAGCCATAGCCAACTGGGAGTCATACATATGGGAATTCACTTTCATGGCAATGTATATCTGGTTTATAATGATGTCAACTGAAGGGCCTTCGTTAGTTTTATGTTAACGTAATCTTGTCCTTTCTTCCACCACCAAAACACAAGCTGACTTTGAGATGAAGATAAATAGGAATGTGACACAAGGCACTTCTATGTAAAGCAAGAGGGACTACGCTGTTTCAGGTCTGACAGTCTATCACTTTGATACATGTCAACTTAGCTCAGAAGGCCACAATTGCTTTAGAAGGTTTTACTTAGTTCTGGATGTAAGCAGGTCATCTAAATGTGGGTGTTTACGGTCCCCATGGAATAAAGCACAGCTGCCATGTCTTCTCTTTGGGCATTGGCAAGCATATGAATGGTTTAGCATCTGCCTTAACGGTTAGCTACGTCCTACCTTGCTCCTCAGAATCAGAATCATATTGTGGGTTCCTCAAGGTGCCCACATTTTACTAGGATTATTGGTGGTTTGGGCCTCTGGTGGGCCTTCAGTAGCCAGAAGTAGCTGGAGAGCACAGCCTTCACCCAAGGCTTTCTGCTGCTCCCTGGCATGCCAGATCCACGCCTGGGCAGCACTGCCTCTGGACTTCTCCCAGCCATCACCACCATGGAGCTGTTCTCTTAGAGGAATGCAGAGTCTCTCTCAGTGTGTGGGGAAAGAGCAGTTGAGGACCACTGTGATACTCACTGTTTTGGCAGTTTTAGTTGGTGAAGGAGGACCTTAAAAAAAATGAGCCAAATTTTAAAAACAGAGGAAGCATTCCTGGATCATAAATACTGACACAAGTTTTAGTAGACTAGCACACTCTGATGTGCTAGGCCTTATACATGCATTATCTCACTCCATTTTTATTACAAGCCTTATGTCATAAATGTTATTATCATTTAATAGACAAAATAAACCAAGATTCTTTCCTACATCATAGGACCGATGCGTGGTGAGGCAGGAAACCGATATTGACCGGTCTGACATCAAACCCTGGTCTTTGTTATATCTGTTGAAGCCCTGGAAAACTCCCCAGAACTTACAAGATTTTTACCTAATTTTGAGCATATTTTACCATTTCATCCAAAGAAACCAAAATGGTTCAAAGAAATGAATAAGGAAAAACACATTAATGAAGTTAAAGTGTTCATTTGCCTGAAAAATGAAAATTAAAATCTAGAGTGTTAAAAGAAGAGTGAAAAGCTAAATTCCATTCACTAAGGGCTGGCAGAGTGGCTCAAGTGGTGGAGCACCTGTCTAGCAAGTGTAAATAAGGCCCTGAGTTCAAATCCCAGTACCTCCAAAAATAAACAAACAAACAAATAAATAAATAATTCCATTCTTTAAAATACTAGCTATTCATAAGTTTGGATTTGTGAAAGCCTATTAAAATGCAATTGTGTGGTTAGTCCTTGGAATAGGATTTATAATGTCTGGGAGCAGCTCATATCAACTGATGACCTTGAAAAAGAAAATTTTCATTTCTCTCACACAAGCATTGTGAGGTTTAATTAACATTTACAGGCAGATTGTGGTGCTATTATGACTGCCTCTGTGGGACAGGTTAACACACCATCCATGGTTTTACTTCCACACAGGTGCTGGCTCTTTCTTGAGACTTCTAGTGCATTACAGAGGTGCACAGAAAGGACCATTGGTTGAAAGTTAACTTCTACTACTGTCATCAAGAGAGAAATGAAGAGGATATATTTCATGTGAAGTAGCACAACATAATACTGTGACTTTCTAATAATTAAAGCCATAAATCAGATTTTAAGAAGAGTACAGTAAGAAAGAAATCCATAATAGACCCAAAAGAAACCACTAATAACTAAAACACTGCTGAAAAAGACACTGCTACGGAAACAAGCAGCCAGAACCGTAAGGAAAACATGCACTAATCACCAGTGAAATATGCTGGGGAAAGGACTGTGCCCTAGGAGGACAGTAATTAATGATACCAATGCTGAGTAAGCATTTGCTCACCTCTTAAGACCAGCAAGGGCACGTCTGCACCCACAGGGAACTGCTTTAACACTTCCACCACTTGGAGATGTGTTAAGTTCTGCACATTCTGATGATAAATTTCCTTGATTACATCCCCTTTCTGAAGGCCTTGACACCACTGGCTATCCAATATCATTTTCACCTTCTGTCCAGTAGGGCTGTCAGCAATCGCAAACCCAAAGCCTTTGGGGCCTTTAATCAAAGGGATGGTCACTAGTTCAGGCTGGGAGCCACCTGATGATGCCAGGGATGCTCTCTGCTCACTGGGATCTGACAGGCCATTGAGACGATCGTTGGTCAACATGGGACCCAACTTTCCAATCTGATCCTGAGCCACTGCTCCTGGCTTCAACTCCTGAGTACTCATGCAAGTCTCTCCCTTTGTTAATGACTGTCCATTGATGACAGGTGTAGCAGCAATGATGTCCACAACAGGATCTTCACTGTCATCAGGAAGTGGGTAACCACGGCACAACGTGAGGTTTACATACTGACTGACAGGTACCAGCTGAAACATGTGGACCACATCTGCATGGGTGTGACCAAGGACACAGCTGCCATTGATGTCCACAATAACATCACCTGATAAGATATAATCATGGCAAAACATTAAAACCACAAAACAAGTTCATTTTTTTGTTGGGGGGGAAATGCAAAAATAACTTAGATTAACTACTAATTTGAATTCTGGAAATCTACTATTCATGAACTGCCAAAAAGAAATTTCCAACATAGATGTTCTCTTCTTAACCACTTCTTTCTAAAAAGAATATATATAAATGTGTAAAATCTCGACTATCTTGGCAGCAAAAAGTTTTGACCTCAAGTTCCAGTAAATCATTAAAAAAAAAAAACCTGCAAATTTTATTGCCATTGTTTGTATCTGTGAGTCATTCCTGGGTGGCCAAAACTCAGCAGTGTGGCAGGAATTCAGTACACAAAAGAGAAGAGCCAACTCCACCTGCTACTTGTACATGCAGGTGGTCCTTAAATTCCACATAGTTCTTGGCTGTAAGAAGCAACTGATTACAAACTGTATTTAAAAATCCACCTTGGTGGAAAAAACGTAGAGCTGAAGGTTAGAACGATATTAACTTACAAATGTATTTTCTTTTAGCATCCTTTTGTAGGGATTTTGAATTTATTGTAAATCTGGTTTTAAAAAGTGAAAGCAACAACAAAAAATTGAAGCAATGGCTATATTACTTAAGATACTGAAAAGTGAGCTAAATTAATTCTTATAAAATTTGGTTTTGCTTTCTTGATTTTGCAATATTATGACCACTTTGGCTGCAGAATGATTACCATGGAAACTCATCAGTTGGGTATACTCTATTAAAGTTTATACTCTATTGTCATCCATTTGCTTTTATTTAATGTGATTATTTAGAAGATTATTGACAAATAAAGGTGATTTGATTTGTTCTGAATGCATGCAGGCTTCAAAAAATTAACATTAATGGTGTTAAAAATTTAGTTTATAGAAATCTGTTTCATAATCTAAGAAGACACAGAAATTGGACTAATTAAAATGAAGTTTTGACTTTTTTCCCTGGTGAAACTTCCAGAATTTTCATGGAAGTATTTTACTGCTATGCAAATTAGATGACAGTTTTAGGAAAATCTGAAACTATACTGTGAACTCCTGACAGCATATGCATAAGATCTATGTGTTGTGTGTCATGGACAAAATGTTGAAAGTTTTAAAACTGAAGACTAAAAAGAAAAACCCTTACTATTTACTGTTTGTTAATTTTATAAAGTAATAGAGTTTAAAAATATAATTTTCCTCATACTGTAAATGTAGCTTTTGATTATCTTAAGGTTTTTTTTAAAGTTTCTATCACCCCATTGGAAAGCTATATGACAGATCCCATAACCTAAATGAATACCCTAAATGACTTTTTGTCATCAAAAAGTGCTATGACAATTGAACTAACCAAATGTGAGTCCATATAACATGGTATGTGAACTAACAGAGGAAAAGTCTAGCAAACAGTGCAGGAAGCAACCTCAGAGGGTTACTAAATTCCTTCTGGAAAAAGTGCTTAACCTCCCTGGTACTCCAAGAAACTCAGTCACAAACACAGTCAGCCATATTAAAATACCCAATTATACCAAAGAAAGGCTTTGGGGAAACTATGTAAAAGACAACTTCAGTTTTACAGTTCTATAAAAACAATAATGTTTGTGTCTATAATTCTTAACATAGGACTTCAATTTTACTAATAACCAGTAAGACTAGAGAAGTAAAAAAAAAAAAAAAAAACTTTGAAAAAAAAAATCTGGGGATACAATAATTTGTTTGATACCATGCTGAAAATTACAATAGACTATTTTTCAAAAAAAATTTTAAGGAAATGTTAGGGGTATCCAAGAGTACCCTACATAATCAAATGATAGCAAATGGTCTTCTGATATGGTAAATAAAGCTTTAGCTTTGTATAGACAAAGGATTATCTAAAGATTATCCAAAGTATTCAAAAAAGTTAATAAATTTACTATGTTTACCCTAATTGTTTCTACTTATTTATAAAAACGGCCCTCCCTCAAGCTAGCATGCATTTAATTTTGAGGTTAAACTATTTTAATACAGGAATCTCCCGCTTCTGTTACATAATTCATTCTCTCCCTTTCTTTATATATAAAAAAATCTCTCAACCATAATTTTGTGACAGTATTCGTGCTCCTCCAGGAATTCAGAAAATCTTGTTACCTGGTGCAATTTTCCCATCCTGGGCCGCGGGTCCGTCTTTCAGCACATTCTTCACCTGCAGGAATTCATCGGGCCGATCTCCACCGATGATGGTAAAACCGAATCCCATTGTGCTTTTCTTCAGTGATGATCGAACAAGGACACCTTTCAGTTGGGATGGGTCCCGAGTAAAGTGTGATTTTTCCACATCTGGGCCAAAATGAGAAGTGGATTGAGAACAAAATAATTACAATGAATACAGCCTTCAAAACCAATCTTTAAGATAGTCTGTACAACTTAAGGACAAGAAAATACAAAGGGAAGAAAATCAAAGAGAATCTGATTTGCAGAGCAGTTAGAACTGAAGCTCATAAACTAAGTCATAGGGAAAAACTTAGCTAATGAATCACTACTTTTTTTTTTTTTTGGCGGTACTGGAGGTTGAATTCAGCATCTTGCACTTGGTAGGCAAATGGCTCTACTAACTTAAGTCATGCCTCTAATCCTTTTTGCTTTTAAGTTATTTTTCAGACAGGGTCTAGTGCTTTTTGCCTGGGGCTGACCCCTGACTATGATCTGCCTACCTATGGTCTCCTTCATAGCTGGGATTACAGACTTGTACCATCACTTCCAACTTGTTCCTTGAGATGGGGTCTCACTAGCTTTTTGCCTGGGGTAGCCTGGAATTGCAATCCTCTCAAGTAGGTGGGAATATAGGGGTGGGCCACCATACCTAGCCAAAGAATTATTTCTCTTTAATAGGTTTCTTTCATGTCATGTGAAAGCACCTGCATTTTCTCCTCCTCATTGCCTTGTCTGTACTTACTTTCTCTCTCACCTCACACTTCATTATAGTAGCCCCAGCTCTATTTAGTTTTGCTTTTGGATGTTTCAGTTACCTGAAGTCCAAAAGTAGTAAATGGAAAATTCCTGAAATAATTCGTAATTTCTTAATTGTGCACTGTTCTGTTGTGTGATGAAATCTTGTGCCATCTGCTCCATTCCCCGTGGGACGTGAATCATTCTCTTGTCCAGCATATCTACACTGTATATACTAACCCGCTTGTTAGTCACTTAGCTGCTGTCAGTTATCAGACTGACTCTCATTCTACCATGATGCTTGCATTCAAGAAGACTAACTTCATTTAATAAAAGCCCCAAAGCACAGGTAGTGATGCTAGTGACTTGGATATGCTAAAGAGAAGCCATAAAGAGCTTCTGTTAAGTGAAAGGTGGAAGTTGATTAAAGGTACACAGAAACACAGCATAGATAAGGCTTGGTACTATTCTTGATTTCAGGCATCTACTGGGGGTCCTGGAACATGTCCCAAGCAAATGAAGGTGACTATTGTGCAACTCCATTAATAACCATGATGGGTATCACTTATTGATCCAATACCACTACAAGCACTTTATATGCATTAATTTACATACCTTTAACCATCTCAAGAGGAAGGTACCTATTATTATTCCTTTTTTGTTTTTTTGGTGAGGAATCAGAGGCACCAAGATTTTAGGGATGTTACTGAGGATACATAGATGAGATTCAAAAGCTGTTGCACATTTAACTACTCTTCTAGAATAGTGCTTCTTACTGCATACTGCAATGATTACTTTCTCTACTGGACTGTGAACTCTTGAAAGTAAGAGCTGTCTTAATCATTTTTGAAGATCCAGTGACTAGCAAAGCACTGGGAATATAGAAAGTGCTCTGTGGCTCTAATGGTAGAACACCTGCCTAGCAAGCTCAAGGCCCCACGTTCAAACCCTAGTACCACACACCCATACCTACACCCCCACCCACAAGTTAAACTCAAAATGTTTGGCAAACTATTTACAAGAATGGGGGGTCTATGGTCTTAAAGAATAGCTCTATGAAAAAACTACTTTTCTCAAGGGCCACAAAAGTTAGGTGTCTATTGGATTCTACAATACGACCTCACACACACAGACCTCTGGCTGCTAATGACAGCAGGGAGAAGGGAAGGAAATAGGGAGTGATGAGTATAGTAAAAGACTTCCCTAGCCAGCCTTTTCAAACAACATCTGACCAGACTCATCGAAACTCATGTATTTTGAAAATGTTCCCTAGGTGATTCTGATATTACTAACACCTACAATTTTACATGACAGTCAAAGGTGTAGAAAAATAACTTGGCATGGAGAATCCTGAATGGTTACAGACATTAGACTCAAGCAGTAACCCAGGAATAGCTCATAATGAACTAAAGATCTAATAGTGGGCCTGGCCTTACACATGAGAAAATAGCCCAGTGTTCAAAATGAAACCTCAAACTCACACAATTTCATACTTTTTACATAATCATGAGGAAAATCTCAGTATCCTCACAATATCCAGATGTCTTATTAAGATTATTCATACCTTTACAGTGGCAAAAGTCAGACATTCTCTGTTGAATTTCAAGGCCCCAGCAATAAAAAGTTCACTTTTATTAACTCAGCATATAAATTTCACAGGTTATTCTTAGAAGAAAAGTTCAATCAAAAACAGTTCTACCTGGTTTTGAAGACCCAATTTCAGCCTGTCCTAACTGCTTTTTCCTTTTGGCTTCCTCCACTGGATTTTCAAACTGGGTTTTCTGGTTAAGATGGCTGTAAAATACAAAGAAATGTGACTTTCAGGTTTAGATGAAAAGGTTCCGTATTAAGTAAGTAGACTACCATACACTCCATCACCACAGGCTAAGGGTCACATGTATCTTTAGGGCACAGAACACAGAAGAGCTGACAGAGATCATGGCAGGACCACAGAAGACACCTAGAAGTCAAAGCTGCTGATGCTTATGAGAATACAAATGCACCAACAGATGACAACAACTATCAACCTGCTAGTAGAATCCTTCTTACTTCATACTCTCAGGGTGCTGGTAACTAACTGATCAGTTAAGTTTTTTTTAAAGGCAATTAATACTAGAAGTGTTTTAATTCAAGTTTCTCTAAAATGAAGCAAGCTATGAGGATACTTTGGAAGAAATCTGAGTATGGAATTCTTTCACAATATGACTACAGCATGTTACTTTTTGACTGACTTGCCCAGGCCAATCAGTAGTAACTAAGAAAATGACTTTTAAAAGTCACATTGTATTATAAAACAACGCTTTCACACCTTAACTTCTTCATAATTATATAATAATTAAACTAGTCAAATAAGCACAACATAAGTTTAACTGGCATTTGTGACTGGAAACACTCATGACTGGACTTGGAGCACTTCGAACTCTGAGGAAAAGAAGAAACGTGAGGTGGGGAGCAGGGACAGATGATTACCAGTGTAGTGGACACTACAGGTGACAGTATGTTTTACACAGGGAATGCAGACTAAGATTCTAACAAGTTGGTCAAGTGATAGCTGGTTAAGAACACAACTTCTGTAAAACAAAAAGATGATTAAAACCATGGCTAGGTCTAATGCAGAAGCCACAGGAATCTTATTCTAGCACTTTCATAGAGCAAAGATACTTTAGCCAAATGATATGTTTTCTAGTAAGATTCATTAAAGTGGACTGTCACAAGAGGTGACAGTAGTGAACCAACAATTAAACTTCAACTCAAGCAAATTTCAGGATAGGAGTGCCCTTGGATTGAATATTACAAAATCTACATATAAATAGTCATACAAATCCCATATTTACTTTGTCACTTGTGAACATTAATGGTGATGGTGGGGGGAGGGCAGTGGGGACTAAAACAAACAACCCTTACAGTAAGGAATGCTAGCTCTCTCTGTCATTTTAGCACCTAGTGCTCATTAACTCCAGGACAAATATGCTACTCTGCTTCAGAACTCTAAATATGGTAAGTTCCACTTGACATTCTTTGGGTTCTGATTTCATGAACACTCAGGGATGCTTCTGCCTCATACTACAGGAGTGCCTTCTCCATGGAGTTAACTGTTGAAATCACTGTGAAAATGAAAATCTTAGGCACCACTTAAAAAAAATTAGGTATAGATACCGTACACATTCTTAAGAAAAAGAAAACTAAAAATTAACATTAAGAAAAGAAATAAACCTGTTTAGAAAGAACGTTGGTTCCTTTTACATCATCAGCTAGAATGACTCACTTTGCCACACAGGCATTAGAACATAAAAAGTAGTCATTTGTATTTATATCCTTCTGAATGTGTGAGAGAGGAGTGAAAGCGCACAGAAGAATAATGCTCTTTCTGAAAATTCTTTGACAAAAAAGTAAGATGGAGTGAAGGGAGTGACTGCATCTGTGACCTCAGACTATCTGATTAAAATGTCACTCCCCAAAATCAAACAAAACAAAAAAGTGAAGATACTCTTCTGGCCATTTAGTTACTTACATACACATATTATCAGAACAGCCACGAGGTGAGAAAGTATCTCCATAAGTGAGGAGAATATTGCAATTGTCAAAAAAATTAAACCAGGGAAACAAATAAGCATAATTAAACATCTACTATATAATTAGGAATATCATCTGCATGACAATTTTGTGTCTAACACCTAGCTTTAAAAATTCATCTCAACAAATTCATGAAGAATTTGAGATATGAAACCAGATGTAAGTTTTGACTGTCACCTAAGTGTAGCAAGACCTTTAATGTACTACAATCAAGACAACATGTCTAAACATGTATGTATTTTTAGAGAAAAACCTGCCATTCAATTTTGGAACAATTTTTTTTTCAAAAATAGATAATCTGTTTTGGAAGCTTCATCCTCTAAAATAAATATTCAAAAGAAGAACTGCTGTGCAGTTGGTGTTACTACTACACTGGTCCTGCCAAAAGCAATCCATGGGCCATCTGGTCTGACAATGGGAGAGGACAGCGTTGAGAGCAGCATTCAAGCAGCAGCTTTTAACCCCATCTGCAGGATTCCTGCAGATTTCTACTGGGCGGGGAGACTCAAAGCCCAGCTAATCCGGGAATCAAGCCACACTCAGGACTCAGCCGACTCCATACTAATGTGCATCTTGAGTACAGTCTGTTCTTTCTTAATCTAATAAATTATCCTCCTGTAAACGAGCTTGTTCTGGGAACAATCATACAAAATCATGGCGCTGCCACCACTGGTGCTGCTAATTCAGGCTGTTTCATGCACCTCCATGACAACTCAGAGCAAGTCACTTCAGGATTTGCCCTGACATTGCTTCAATATCATATCCTTGCTCAATGGAAAGCAGATCATTGAGCTCAAGAATTCATAACAGGCAAATGACTTTCACCTCTTGACCATGTATTCAAATTCACTTGCAATGGGTGATAATGAGAATCATTATCTCAGAAATGGTTGGCAGCCTCAATGGCAAATAATAGTTGATTGAAACTGAATTTAAATAGGCTGAAGTACAAGGGGAGGGAAAAATTCCACAAAACCTTGCCAGTTGGCCTCCAAATACTCTTTTGACTTAGAAAACTGTTGTTTCTTCCCTTATTTTAACTAAATCTGCCTTAGGAAAAAAATGACAAGAGTGCTGTACACTTTTCACATTACATTTCATCAGAATCAGCAACATATTAAATATCACAGTGGAAATAAATTAGCACAACCTTTCAAGGGAAGCAAAACATTGAAATTGGGAAGTTGTATACCTAAGGGTCAATCTAATTGACTTGTTTCCATTGGATACATGGTTGATTTTAAGATACCCAAAAAACTACATAGCATTTGTTGCCCTCAATGCAGAGAAACTAAAGCAGATACTTTAAATCGACAGAGGTCAATAGGAGAAGCATACCAGGAACTAGAGAAAAGGTTAGTTCGAGAAGAATTAACTTAGAAGGTAACGCACATGCACAGGAAAGCAATGCAAGTCAACTCCCTGTATAGCTATCCTTATCTCAACTAGCAAAACCCTTGGTCCTTCCTATTATTGCTTATACTCTCTCTACAACAAAATTAGAGATAAGGGCAACATAGTTTCTGCCTGGTAGCGAGGCGGGTAGGAGGGGAGAGGGAAAAGGTGGAAGGGAGGGGCCGGGGGGAGGGGGGAGAAATGACCCAAACATTGTATGCACATATGAATAAAAGAAAAAAAAAAGAAGTCATTCCAAGTATCTGCAACTCAGTAACAATCTACCAATTAAAGACCACAAGAGGAGCCAGAGACTCTTACTTTAGGGATAATTACCAGGAAATGGCATGGGCTTATGCCAACAAGTATTGAAAAAATAACAAGCAATCATAAACAAGTATTGAAAAATTAATAAGCAATCATAACACTAAAGATTCTTGTGCTTGCTATTTTTCCAGGTAATAACATCTTGCTTTCCCTATGGAGGCAATGGGTTCAGACTGAACCTCCAGGAAATCAGTAACGTTTCAGATATAATTATTTGTCTGGTAGGAGACACCTGAGGTCACAATCCTATCTGAAGCATCTGGAAAGAAGGAGTTCCATAACAGTGACTGTAATGGTGTAGCAATTAGAGAAAGAAAACTCAGATGTTAATAGTGGTCTTATTTCTCTGGCTAGCAGCAGGTGTTTGGTGCTCTTCTCTGTCATGTATTTATATTTAAATGTAACTATAACAGCTGCATGGAAGCAACATGCACCCCCAAAAGAATCCTAAATTTTCTTTGACTAGCTCCTTAAAAGAGCATATACCTTTAATCACATAATTTGAAACCTTGGATAGTTATGCATAAGGCCCTTGAATTACTACAGAAGCATAGCTGGTGGTGTCGGAAGCAACCTTAAATTCATTTACTCAGTGACCTCATTTCACAGTGCGTCATCTCCTAAAAGTTGTTCTCTTATCATTAGTCTTCCACACAACTTCTCTTTCTTACTCCCCTTTCTTTCTTCCCTTTTCTTTTCCCTCTTTCATCGTATTCTTCTTTCTCTTTTTTTTAATGAGACAGGGTTTTGTTATGTTACCCAGGTCTTAGACTTCTGGACTCAAGACTATAGGCGTGTACTACCACACTATGCTTGAACTCTATTTAGAAATTCAATGCCAGTTTCTAGGAAGCTCAGAGTCAGTGCAGGTAAGTGCCCTAGTGGAAAAACTAGGGGTCACAGAAGCTGGATCACAGAAGCACACACGGCCACACTGCCATTTGTAAAGCTGTTGGCTAAAAAGGAAAACATTTGGGAGATTATTAACTGAGGAAGCAAACTTACTCAACATAGTATGTCCCATACTGAGGGTCTTCTATTTTCTCCCAGCCATAAGGAAGCTCTGTAAATAAAGAAAATTAAATGAAGTGCCAGATTCAAAACCGACAGAAAGGAGTTCACCAGTGAGCAAACAATCTGGGTATTTTGTGTACTAATACTTGGGAATCAGATAGCTGAGGGCTCACTTTCAAAGACAAATACAGTTTAAGTAGGAGTGTAGCTTCCTTCCTTTGCCAGGGTGTAGCTCAGCAGGTGATCGGAATCCTGGAACAAAAGCTCGTATTAAACTAAAACATGTTTATATGAATCACAATATGCAAAACACACTAATTATTATTTTAAAAACACTATATAATATTTCTTTTATTGAAGAGGTTTGATAAAGTTGACATGATACACACTTACATAAGAAGCAGCTTCCTGTTAAATTTTCACTATTACATACAATCATTTCTGTTCTTACACTTCTGGAAGGAAAGCAAGCCACTTCAAGAGGGCAATCTGGGTCTGTTCAAAACCTCACAAAGTACCTGTTCGCCCTTGCATGAACTTGAGTTGAGTGCCTCAAAGAACACTGATTTAATTACCAGGATACCTTGTGTAACCTGTAACAAACATCTCACATAGCATTATTATGCACTGTTTAGTCTAAGTAGTTGACTAATAAAATATAATGAGAAAAACTGAAGGGAGTTGAATTTCTGACAGTTATAAAAAATTCTGGCCTTTCCAACATAAACTGACTCTATCAAGAAACAATCTTTTCCCTCCCACCTTGCATTCCTTGAAAGTTAAGGTTTCAGAAAAACCAAATTAATAGTCAGACATGGGTCAAACTGGGAGGAATGTTTCCAGCAGGTGGTTGTAGTGCTATCTGTTATATATGAGTTGAACAAGAAGGAATTTACAAAAAAACCCACGGTTGTGCACTGTAATGCTTTACACTTTTATTTTCAATTCTTTTAGAATGTTTCTGCTACACACATGAATGAAATATGCCAGGTAACACACAGGCTTAGAATATATGAAAAGTTATTAATTCTATATCATTGAGCATCAGTTATGACATGCCAACTTTACAAACAAAAATTTTACTATAATGAAATTGACAAGCTATATACAATCTGTTTTGCTAAAATACAAATGATTATTTTGTATTCAGAATGAAATGAAAGAAAAGAACAGATGTTTAACCTGTTGAAATTATTCCAGGAATGATAAGAGGAGAGATAAAGAGATAAAGAACGACAGAGGGGGTGAAATCAGCTATGATATAGTGTAGGAACTTTTGTAAACATCACAGTATATCCCAGTACAAAAACAATTTTGAAAAGGCCAAAAAAAAAAAAACCAGAACAGATGACTAGCATCTTGAAAAACTGTGAGTTATCCATATTCCTTTCTTCCAGCACATATTTTTTTTTTTTTTACATAAACTGGATGGTGGTTTAAAGATTTGGTGATTTTTTTGTTGTTGCTGTGGTGGTAGTTTTTCTTTGAAGGGGATGGTTGAAATGTTTGAAATGGAAAAGACAAGACTAGAGGAAGTATTCAAATAATTGAAGTATGTGAACATGGAAGAAAAATTAAGAAGTACTGAGATACATTTGGGTTAACTGATCCTCTGAAGCTCTGAAGTAAATGGTCATTAATTAAAAAGGTGTAATATTTTATGACCAACTAACTATTACATAGATAAGGACGGTTTTTGGATTACATCTATAAAAATGCACAGTAACAATATTATCAAAGCATTATCATTATCGATCTTCCATAAAAGAGATTTTTTCTTTACTAGAAATTATTTTTGAACTAGCATGGGAACTGAATGGTGCTGAGGAAGGATGAGTACAGTTGAATTTATCTTTGTCTTTAATGAAAGCTGGAAAAGTGAGGGACTCTAGAGACAGCTGAAACAGTCCACTGAATATTTGAAAAATTGCAGCATTCACTAAAAAAGATGCATTAATAGTTAATAAGAATAAAAAGATCAACATGAATATGTTTCAGCATTAACTTGGAAGGTGATCTAGTGCTTTAGTTAGCACTTACAGCAATTAGCAACTAACACATTAAGTATATCCTTTCTTTAGGAGAGCAAACAAATTTATCTTCAGAGTCACTTTTAGCAATCTTAAATCTTACCATTGGTATCATCAGAAGTTTTTTTGCATGGTAGATTAATACAGAGAAAGAGGTGGTTTATTATTTGCCCTTTTAAAATGAAGGTAATAAAGGAAAGACTAAAATACCTAGCAATTTTTTATACTATCTATTCATCCATTCATTTCCTTCCTTTTTCCTTTTTCCTCTTCTTTCCTTCATTGGCTTCCTTTTCTCTCCTTCCTTATACAGAAATAAAATTAGGAATATAACACAGTTCTTGACCTCAAGGCGTTTATGGTCTATACAAGAAGACAGAAGAGATAAATGGCAAGGTGAAGGTAAAGAAGCTTTAGAGGGAGTAAGGAGGAATGGCACCAACATCTAGTAAGGGCAACTGTCAGGAAAGACTTCAAAAGATGGTGATGTCTGAAGGATCCTAAAGGACATTGGTATTAGCGTGACTGAGGTCATTCCAGAGAGAGCAAAAGGCACTGAGGTGTTAAGAATGCCCAGCAATTTCAGTAATTACAAATAATTTGCTAGACTACAGTGCAAATTGTATGCAAAGAGAGATGAGTCTTATATAGGCAAGCACCAAAATCTCAAATAATCCTAGAGTGCCATGTTAAGGAATATGATCATTTGATCCTTATTTTAATGATGATGGAACTAAGCAGGACTGTGACATTATAAAATTTATATTTGAAAAAGACTATGGGCAACAGTAATAAAGGAAAAAACAGAATAAGTAGAGTGAGAATAAAAGCAAATAAAAACATTAATAGACTAGATGGAAATTAGAAATTATGAAGGCTAGAACTAAGAAAGTGGTAGTGGGAATGGTGAAAGGAATGGACAGCAGAAATAAAAGTAAAAGGACTTAAGGATGACTGTGGGGACTGAGTAAGGAAAGGGGATTGACTGGGGAGAAGACCAAGATGATCCTAGGTTTCTAGCTCTTCTAATCATAAAAATGATCCATTATCAAATATCTATCAAAATGTGAAAATGGCTATGGGACTTGAAAATATGAATTGATTAGGACTTAGAGGAATTTAAGAGACAGAGGAGACACAGAAAGTGGCTAGTGCCAATGGGCACTCAAGAAATGGCAGGTATTTTTAAAGCTAGAGTTGGTAGAACTTGGTAGTTTAACTGCCACAAAAAGGAGATGGTAAGGAGGAAGCTGAGGATGGTAATTAGTTTCGAGTCCAGCAACTGGAAGGAGTCCATTTGTTGATGGCAGAAGGGAAAGGTGCTCCATCTGCAAGTTCCTAGGATATCTTAGTAGAGATATCTAACAAGCTCATGGCAACAAGAGAAATACAGGAAGATAAAGATTTGGGAGACATTGTGGCTAAAGCCCTTGGCAGTGGAGGAGATTACCTGCATTGTGAATAGAGCAAGAAGAAGAGCAGATAAGAAAGTAAGAATAGTCAGGAGAAGTTGTCTAAGACAGACATGATCAACACTAACAAATGCTCTGTAATAAACCTAGTGGGAAGGGCTACAAAGGTTAGACTATCTGATCATTGTAACTTTAAAAGCAGCTTCACTGAAAAGGTAGGGAACAAAACTCAGAATGCTGCAGTCACTGAAGAGTAAAAGAACAGGTAGTGTCTTTATTACCAGAGAAGACTTTTTAAAAACTTGGTGTGGAAGGCTGGAAGAATGGCTCAAGTGGTAAGAGTGTCTGATTAGCAAGTGTGAGGCCCTTAGTTGGAGCTCCAGTGCTGCAAAACAAAAACAAAAACAAACAAACAAAAAAAACCCCAAAACACTTGATTGTGGAAAAAGTTAGTGTAAGAACTATAGGGAAAAACTTAACGGTAAGAGAAATGTACTTGTTCATTTTTGAGAGACAAAAGACCTACTCGAATATCTTTTCCTGTGTCAGGAGCAGAAGCATTCCCCCTAAAAGTTGTTTCAAAAGGCAAAATTATTTTTGGCACATCAAGCAGCTGGCTGGTTCTAATGCCCATGAATTTATCCCTTTTCTTTTCTCTTCCCAAAATAGGATTTTTCTTATTTAAATGTATGAATTACAATTGTTACCTTAAACTGGAGCTCAATTCAGTTGGTAATTTTCATTTATCAATTTCTAAGCTCCAAAATGAATTCAACATTCAATACGATTATAAGCTGCCTTTAGTAAAAATGTAATCTTTCTTTCATAAGAGAGAAGGGGTGGGTTGAGAGTAGAATGGATTCTTGATGCTGTATTTTTACAATAACTACTTAAACCAAAACACTAATTATTTTGTTTGAATGGAAAATAAATATGTACATCAATTAAATCATCAAATATGGTGTAAAGACACGGCTGGGCTCTGAATGTCAGAAGACAGGGAAGGAAAGGGCAAGTTTTAGAAACTTGTAAGGGCTTCCTAGAAGATCTTAAATGCTCAGGAAGCCAACAATATTTTAGAACTCCAACATTAAAATTATTATTATTATCTTTTTTCAGCATCCTCTCTATGCAAAGCCCTACGGTGAGTATCAAGGGGAGTCAAACACTGTCTATCCTAAAAGTAGTCTATTGTGGATTATTTTTTTCCTGTCAAGGGAGACAAAGTGCACAGAGAAAGTGGTAAAGTCTGGCTAAGCATGAAACAGAGAGGCTCATGGTTCCAGTTGTGGGCCTCCCATCAGATGAAGTACAGGTAATGTTAGAAGGTATACCCAGTGGGGATGGGAAAGCAGTCTTTATATTAAAGGAGTTTGAATATTCCTAAAATACTGAATGTAATTTTTCTTGTCCTACCTTAAGAAAAATGTAAGAGAACCATATCATGCATTGTCCACTTTTGAGGTTACAAGGGGACACTATTACTAATTATGCTGGGACAAAAGGAATAAACTGGGTTAGTCCTGGGCCAACCAAGACATCTGGTCCCTTTAAATGTAAAGAGCACTAGGGAACTTGCTCATCCTAATTCCTCAAACTCCATAGAG